ATTAGCATTTGAGGTAGATGAGGTAGAGTTTGGGATATGTCAAGCATAGGTAGATAAGTCATGAACTTTCTGCCTCCTTCTATCCCAGAAGCCCTTTTAGCCTCCTCTGTCCTCAGCCATCATTGCTTTCTTTCCTTTCCATGGCTATTTCCTTTCCTCTTCCCCAAATTCTTACCAACCAGGAACAGAACCATCATTAGTTTGAACCATATTGTTTCAAGAGCTAGAATAAAGCTAGAGAATGGCTCCATGTAGAGAATATCAGGGCAAACATCAGTACTAGGAAACTGAAATAATCTTTTGATTGTTTTCAGAAGATATGAATTCCCAGCAAGGAGCCAGAAAGGGTTATACAGAAGCAGAAGATGAACGTGATTTCTGAATGAGATTAAAACAAGAAAGGCTGGAATAAGAACAGGCATAAGGACCCTAGGACAGGAAGGAGAGCCGAGATGCCTGGGGCATGGTGACTACTAACCTGATTCAGGAGTAAGCCTTGATTCACTCAGTCCTAAGAGATCGATTATAACAAATGATAACTAGAATGACGAGAGGTGAAAAAATAAAAAAGAGGGAAAGGCCAGGCACAGTGGCACATGCCTATAATCCCAGCACTTTGGGAGGCCAAGGCGGGCATGTCACTTGAGCTCAGGAGTTCAACACCAGCCCAGGCAATATGGCAAAACCCCATCTCTACAAAAGAAGATACATATATATACACATATATACACACACAAAAAAATACAAAAAACTAACTGGGTGTGGTGATGCACACCTGTAGTCCCAGCTACTTGGGAGGCTGAGGTAAGAGGATTGTTTGAGCCTGGGAGACAGAGGTTGCTGTGAGCTGAGATTGCACCACTGCACTCCAGTCTGGGCAACAGAGTGAGGCTCTGTCTCAAAAAAAAAAAAAAAAAAAAAAAAAATCAGAGGAAGGACATGCAGGATGGGAAAAGGGAGGATGAGGGAAAACTAGTTGGAATAGTCAGGAGAGGATTTATGTAGAGCAATTCTCAAGCCTCCCCAATCCCTGTCCTCCATCCCTACCCCTCATTCTCCACTCCACATATGTACTTTGTATGTACTTAAAGAGGAAGAAAATAGAACAATGATACCTCCAACTGCCCTCCTAGAGCCAGCTTTCCATTTCTGCCACCAGTACATTTTTCTCTAAAGTAACCGTTTGGAACTCATCTTCCCTTTGCTTTCAAGCTGAGGGTTTGATTTGAATATTGCAGTTGTAGGATGACAATGTGTAAAGAAAGAGAGCTGGGGAATAGCATCAGGGAGAAACCAGAGTTTCAGTAGTAGTGTGGGAGGTCAGTCAGAGATCAACACACGAGGACAAGAACCATCTAGGAACAAAAACCAAAGAGCTCCAGACAAACTCTTATGAGAGTTTGTACCACTTCATCTCGCCCTGAAGGACAATTTTAGAGTGTCTTGCCACCCTCACCGCAGGAAACAGTCCCTTGCTCCTGCCTCTGATCTGATCAGGTACAAGGAACAGCTGCCAGAGTTTGAGTGGGTTTGTATGTGTGTGTGGCAACCAGCCAGACACCCTCACGTTCCCCCCACTGACCTGAGCAGGGAGCCCACTGCCACTAGCAAGGGGGAAGCAAAAGAGGTGCAGAGAGGGATAGTGCAGAGAGGCATTCCCAGCGTGGGAATGCTTACAAAATGCTAGTTGTTGATTTTTAAAATTTTTAAATTGTGTTCTTTGTTACTGTCTTCAAAGTTGTTGAATGTCAAATACACAAGACATTCTAATTTCACTGTATATTTATCCAATTCGTGGGAAATTCTGATGTTAGTGAGGAGAAAAGATACAAACAAATGACATTGCTCTGGGCACTATTTGCTCTCACCATACCCTGGCCTCTAGTCAGAACTGACTCTCACTTTCTAGTTAGTCCTCAAATTGCTCTAGAAAGGTGGTGTCTCCCAGCCAGGCACAGTGGCTCACGCCTGTAATCCTAGCACTTTGAGAGGCTGAGGCGGGCGGATCACTTGAACTCAGGAGTTTGAGACTAGCTTGGGCAACATGGCGAAAACCTGTCTCTACCAAAAAAAAAAGAAATGTGTATATATATACACATACATACATACACACACACACACAAAATACAAAAAGCTAGCTGGGCATTGTGGCACACACCTGTGGTCCCAGCTACTCAGGAGGCTGAGATTGAAGAATCACTTGAGCCCAGGAGGCAGAGGTTGCACTGAGCAGAGATCGCACCACTGCACTCCAGACTGGGTGACAGAATGAGACCCTATTTGAAAAAAAGAAATAAGAAAGAGAAGAAAGAAGAAAAAGGAAAGAAAGAAGAAAGTGAGAGAGAGAAAGAAAGAAGAAAGAAAGAAAGAGAGGGAGAAAGAAAGAAAGAAAGAAAGAAAGAAAGAAAGAAAGAAAGAAAGAAAGAAAAGAAAGAAAGAAAGGAAGGAAAGAAGGAAGGAAGGAAGGAAGGAAGGAAGAAGAAGGAAGGAAGGAAGGAAGGAAGGAAGGAAGGAAGGAAGGAAGGAAAGAAAGAAAGAAAAGAAGAAAGAGAGAGAGAGGAAGGTGGTGTCTCCCACTCCAGGATTTTCCCGTACCATTCATATACTCTCTAATGTCTAACATCCATCCCTCCTACTGCAGGTTCATTGTTTTGTGTGTACCTTTAGAGACTCACCCTTTAAAAGCTCTTCATGAGATCCTGAATTTTCAAGCTGAAACCATAAGGCTCTTTTCACTCTGTTCTTGTTTCACTCTCTTTCCCACTGAATGTTCTCTTAGCTGTCTTGGGCTTTTGTCCCTAAAGTCTGGGAAATACTCAGATTCCTTGACAATAAGGGGAAGGGAGAAACAGGAGTCCTAAACCTGAAGCAGAGACAAAAAGTAGGGAGACTGTGGTTCTGCTTCTGTAAAATCACCTCTCCTCTCCTCTGAGCCTCCCAGCTCTGATCTTAAAAATCCTGAAAATGGTCAAGATCAATGGCCAACCGTGATATTAGGACCTCCTTTCTATAGAGCTACTACACAGAACCACAAAGTACAATGGAGCTGTAAGATGGAGGAAACACCAAGGGACCTGGGAACTGGGGAAAGTTATTAAGAACCATGTTAACCACAAGGGGGCACTGTGTCCCCGTGGACTAAACTAGAATGTTTAGCTGCTCGACATGGAAATGGGACATGGAATATGCTCTTGATTCTTGAGCTTTTCATCACTCTCCAACAGAGTAGGGAGGTCAGTCAAGGACAAAACCCCCACCCCACGACTAGCTCCCAGAAGAGGGCATCTTTTTCTCTACCAAACTCAGATTTCTTATGCAGAGACATCTATGGGAAAGATACACAGTCATCACCCATTTGACACACCCACCTACATGATAGATGTGTATGCACACACTCACCTATGTACACATACATGTAATGTGCTCCCATTTTTAGAGATTGCCCTGCTGACAGTGTTATCTATGTAGGAAAGACTTGCCTTCCTGTCCATAATACACAAGAGCAGCAAAGATTGATGCTGGTTATAGTTTTTTGCCTTTTCCTTGTGTTTTTCTGAGAAGCTACTTGGTCCCCAATGATTCCATTTATGCCGCTTCTTTTCTGCAGTGTGGTACTTCAGCACTCTGCTGCCTGCCCTGCGTGGGGTCACCCAACACCCTCACCATCCAATAACGCGCTCCACAACCCTGTTACCCAATACCTCCGCTTCCCCTTCTGACCCTGGCCTACCACATTTAAAATAGATCCAGTTCTATGAAGGAGAGTGACGAAATGCTCAAGAATCAAGGGCATATTCCATGTCCTATTTCCATGTCAATCAGTGTGTCAGCACCAGACATCAAGTGCATTAGTCCTCAACTCAGTTCCATTGAGGAAAGGGTATAATTGCCTGTGGAGTTTCTATAAAGCAATGTAGCAAAAGACCTTGTAATATTCCATCACAGTAGTGTTGCCAATAATGCTACAAGGTCCCTCCTCATTTTCACTTCTTGTGCCTCAAGACCCTAAGAATCAGCCTGCAACAGCTGCAAAGTAAGAATTCCTCTTGATTGTTCATAGTTGTTAAAAAGCTTCTTTATAAATAAACCACAAACAGACTTAGTTAGCTCCCAGATCTGTTGGATTCCATGAGGGAAGAGGAATTCCCGAGAGAAATCCTCCTTTTTGCTGCATCCCTCCTGAAAGAGTCTTCAGGTGAAAATGAACTACGAGCAGCCCAACCCTTATAGTAAGTTCATGCACCTGGTCTACTGATTGCACTAAAACATCCAAAATGGAATCTTAGGTGACCCCCCAGGGAGGTTCCTACAGGAAGGTGGGTCTCAAGATATCCTTGGGCACTTCTGTCATCAGCCTTCTTCAATTTTTTTTTTTTTTTTTTTTTTTTTTAGATGGAGTCTCACTCTGTCGCCCAGGCTGGAGTGCAGTGGTGTGACTGTGGCTCACTGCAACCTCCACCTCCTGGGATCAAGTGATTCTCCCACCTCAGCCTCCCGAGTAGCTGGGACTATAGGTGTACACCATCAAGCCCAACTAATTTTTGTATTTTTTGTAGAGATGGGTTTCACCATGTGGCCCAGGCTAGTCACAAACTCCTGAGCTCAAGTAGTCTGCCCACCTCAGCCTCCCAAGTGTGTTGGGGTCACAGATGCAAGCCACCGTGCCCAGCCTCTTCAATTCTTTCTTGAAGGTGGTGGTGGTGGTGGCATCTCTGAAATCCTGTGGCCTTTCTCAGTTACCCATAGTTGATAAGGAAGTCTCCTAAAATCTAAATGGTTCCTCTCTCCCAAGCTTAAAAATACTATCAATATCAAGGCAACACCATTGTATTGGAAAAGGGCCAGTTTCTACATGGTCATATGTTGTGAAGTGCCTATGCCACAAAGGCCCTCTCCCAGGGTTTATATCACTTTGAGAAGAGAATAAGAGACTTGGACAGGGAGAAGATAGGAAGAAGAGCATGATGCAGGCATACCTAGACAAATAATAATAATGGTACTCAAATTCATCTACAGTTTATTGTTATAGCAGAAGTTGTGGGAGACAGGAGGGCACCCTCCACACATAATACAGTGTGGTCAGAGCCCCAGGATAGCCCTTTCCATCTCTATGCCAAGCCCCAAATAGCCCAGCCCAAGCTTAGCTCCCTCCCCAGTCCCACTCTAGATGCACACTGAGAGCTACCAAAGTTAGTGCAGCCAAATGGCCCCAGGCCCCTTCCTGTTTCCCCAGCACCAATCCTTCCCCGACACTTGTTCATTGCCCACCAATTCCCATTCCAACTTCCTTTTTACACCCTGGATGTTTCTATCACATCCTGAGGACCACTAACCCACCAGCAAGTCTCCCCCTGACACACATTCATGTAGGTCCATACCCTTCAGAGTCCTAAAGGGTTAATGAGAAGCCATATCAGCTTTGGTAAATGGAGCCCCAGCCCCAAATCCCTCCCCTTGCAAATATGGGATAAGTAGGGAGAGTCTGATGGAGGCACCATGACAACTACAACAACCTCTTACCCCTCAGCTACAGACACCTAGATCAGGACAGAGGATACATGCCCTCTCCACCTTAACACCAAAATGGGGGAGGAGGAGAATTTAGGGGTCTGGGTCCCTAAGAGATATTAGGACATCTCTTTCAGGAGCTGGGGGTAATCACAGGTTAGAGGTCAAGGTTAGGGTAGCAATCAAAGATCAAGGTCATCTCCCCACATGATCTGCCCTTTTTCCCTTGCTTACTCTGGCCCAATGCCCCTTCAGCACCTCCCAGGTTAGTTCTGGGGGAGGTGAGGGCTGGGTCCCACACTAGGGCAACAAGGGTCATTCAACAGGAGACCTCCATGGTGTGCCCCGGGGGCCCCGAAGAAAGAGTTCCAGACTCGCTGCTCTGAGACAGGGTGCGAGAGCGGGACCGGTTGCCATCAATGGATGCTGCACTGGTTAGAGAGGCCGTACGAGACCGGGACAGGCGAGTCATGCAGGATGAGGCCACTGTGGAGACAGAAGGATGCACAAGCAGTCAGAGAGAAAGTGGGGAAATGGGGCTGGCGACTCAGGGTGTGGTCCTTGGATTATGACTAGTTATAACTAAGCCAGGGGATCAATGAGCTCGATTGGGCAGATAGTGGTAAGTCCAGGCATTAACCTAAAACAGTTCCACCCCGTCAGTGCCCATCTCTCCTATAGTGCAGCAATCTCTTGTCCCCATACTCACTGTAGCCCATGCCTTGCAGAAAGTACTTGAAGGCCTCAGTCAGCTTGCCTGGCTGCGGAAGTAAGAAGAGGCGAGGGAGACAGTGAGATGAGGTTAGAGGCAGAGCTGGAGCCTGAGGCTGTGGCATTGTGGGGATGGGGTGTGTGGCAAAGGCAGAGCCCAATGCCACCAGTATCCTATGTCACTTCCCCATCCCATGGACGGCAGGGCTACTCACCTGAGTCAGCTGGGGCTGACCTCCAGAGTCAGCCATCTGTTCAGGAGAGCGCCACCCAGAAAAAGTGAAACATACATAAATGAGCCATGCGGAGAGGTGGAAAGGGTCTCTCTTCCCTAGCTTCTTCACTCCAGCCCCTTTGTTTTGTTCTTCGTTCACCCCATTTGTTCCCATGCAGGGCCCTGGAGGCTTAGCAGCTGAATTTAGAGAGGATATATGACTCTGGACAGGGGCCCAGGAGCAGGTTACTGACCTTGAGGAACGAGGTCTGGGTGGGGTCCAGTTTTGAGTTACATTCCACCTGGAGTAAGCAGGAGACTGAATGAATGAGTCACGCCCACTGTGGCCCCTCCCCCTATAAGGGACCCAGGGACCCAGACCCCATTCCCTTTTCTATCAGCTCCCTACCCAGTTACTCCTTACCAGGGATCAAATTCCTAGTGCCCCAAAGTTGATCTCCCTGTGCCAAACAGGGCATCCCCTTGGCAAGATACTCTTCTGACCACCACTCTAGGACCCCAGCCCTCCTCCCTCACTCATCCCAAAATCCCCTACTAACCACTGCATCTTCATGAGGTGCTTGGTCTCCTACCACCAGCATCACAGGACACCTAAAGACACAGTGTTGGGGAGAAGGCAGTGAGCCCCTGACACTCCCTCGCTGGCCTCTGCCTAGAAGTGCAGCTGGAAAAATGTCTGGCTCCAAAGAGAAAAGAGCCTTCTGTGTTTCCCTGCTGATGCCACCAAGAGGATTCAAAGGGGGAAGACCTAGAGGGAAGTGATTTACCAAATAGGATGGGGTGGGACATGACAAGGAAGTTCCCTGGCAAAAGATTCTCCTTCTTCTAAGGGATACAAGCTCCTAGGGAAGATCCAGGGAGACAGGCAATGCATTCTTTCTTAAAGTCTTACTTGAGGGTGATATCACCTCCACGCTCAAAGTTCAGGTCTCGGCGGCTGGAAAGGGGTTAAAAGAGTAGGAATTTTAGGTTGGCAGTGCTATCTAACCAAATATAAGCTATCTCCCCCATGATGGAACTATCGCTGTCCCAAAAATCACAGTCAAATATTGGTTATTAAAAGTGGAAACCAAAGGAGAAGGTGGCAGGCAGGCCCCAAGGACAGCTCCTATAATCACTTGTGCCCTAGATCCCTGGTCAGAGGGCAGCAAAAGGGGAGGAAGGGCACAGGATACAAGGTTATCTTACTTCTGGAAGTCCAATAATCCAAAGGAGGTAAACAAGAGAAGGGGGACAACCCCTTGCAATCCTTCCCACTGGCTCTGTCCTGAAGCTGCCCCCATTGCACACTAAATGCTGCATTCCTGGCACATTGCACACTACCCAGACCTCCCTCCCCTCCTGTGTGCCTCCCCATGACCCCCAATTACTGCTTCTGCATTTCTCTCACATGCATACACATGCAGCCCACCCACTTGTTGTAGCTGTTCCAGTACAATTCAATGTTATCCAGGTTGGGTGCATGTGTAATGATATTTCTGTACTTTTGTATCAACTCAGAATTTCCAGAGAGCTCTTCCTGAAGGAGATAACAAGGAAAAACATTAGGGATGGAAAGAGAAACCAACAATTACTGGAGGAAAAGAGGTAAGCCTTCTTCCTTCCCTAAATTCTGTCCCAGCTAAGGAAGTTAGCCCAAGCATTCAAGTTCCCTGCTGCACCCCTCGACTCTTCCACATCATCTTCTACAACCACTTACCTGGCTGAAAAGATGTCCAAGGATCATCTCCGGAATGGAAGAGGTGAGGCCCGTTAGCTATGAGGAGAGGACAGGTGAGAAAGTTCAGGATATTGGCCAGGCACAGTGGCTCATGCCTGTAATCCCAGCACTTTGGGAGGCCAAGGTGGGTGCATCACGAGGTCAGGAGTTCAAGACCAGCCTGGCCAAGATAGTGAAACCCCGTCTCTACTAATAATACAAATATTAGCTGGGCTTGGTGGTGGGCGCCTGTAATCCCAGCTACTTGGGAGGCTGAGGCAGGAGAATTGCTTGAACTCGGGAGGCGGAGGTTGCAGTGAGCCAAGATCAAGCCACTGTACTCCAGCCTTGGAAACAGAGTGAGACACCATCTCAAAAAAAAAAAAAAAGAAAAGAAAAAAAGAAAGTTCAGGATATTATAAGAGACTTAGGCAAAGTGACAGCTTCACTTTCCTGCCCCTTTACTCCCTCCTTGAAGTTCGGAGTCCATCCAGACTTCAAGCATTAGACTCTACCAGAGCCTAACTGGATCCATACAAGGGGATCCCCCACCCTAGGTCTCAGCACACAGGCCCCTCCAAACCTTGTGGGCTGCCCAATCCATCCAACCCTTGGCATTGGGATCAATGTTGATGAGAACAAGACCTTCAACTGTGTCCGGGTGGTTAAGCTGAGGGAGAGAAGAAGGAAGGAAATGAGAAACAGGGCATGGCCTTATCCCCTCCCCGCTAAGCCCTACCCACTTTTGGACTCCCATGGAGCCTGACTCCCCGCCTAGTGCCCACTTCCTCCCCCAAACAGCACTAATAAACAGTATTCTCCTAATCAGTCTGGACCCTCCTTTCCCTTATCTGGGCTTTTTATTTCTTACAGCATATCTCGACAGGATGTAGGCTCCAGCTCCAACACCAACTCCAATTACTGTAGAAAAACTGTGAAAGGGAAAGAAATATATGCCTCACGGACTCTGCTGTCCAAAACCTGCCACAGCCCATCTCTTCAAACTCTTCACCCTCCCTCCTGAGTCCATGAGCACAAAGAAGGGCAGACACAGACCTTTCTTTGGAGGATGCGAAAAAGAAGGGCCCAAGGAGCCAAAGGTTGGCACGGGTAGTCAGGGTAGATCCCTGAAGTCTATCCCAGCTTTCTCCTGGAGAACTAGTGTCTTAAAAACAAACACCCATCCACCAGCCAACCAACACACTGTTTTCCTATATAGATAGCTCTTTGTCCATTCTCAATTTTCAAGAGCCAGTTCAACTTGTTCTGCTTTAGTTCCTGGTTCCTCTATAGGAACAGGAAGAATGGAACTTAAAGCAAATGTGAAAACAGACACAACTTTAGTGAACAAAGGGGAGAATGAGGAAAAGAGCAGCAAAGTGCTGAACCAGAGGTGCTGAGCCCTGGTGTCTAGGAGAAGCTTAGCTAAGAACAGCACCCAGGGGTCAGCACCTCCTTCTGAATACCAAAGACACGCAGTCTGGCGTTCTCTTCCTTCCCCCACTCTCTCTCACCCACAGAGCTCCCCACCCACCAGGTGTGGGCATGAAGGAGAGGGGAGTGGGAGAGAAAGAGACAAGTCTATCTGGTTCCTCAGGGATTATGTCACCCCCTTTTATTCCTCCCTTTCTGATCAGAGAAGGCCCTCCTTAGCCTGAGGCAGGGCCAAGCATAGACCCTTTTCCTTCCCTCCATCCATTAGGGCTACTCTGCTGATTCTGGCCAATTTTCCAAACCCACCACCTTTTCTCAATAATCAAGGTAGGAGCATGAAGGAAGAAGATATATTGAGTTCAGAAGCTGAAACTGGCTCAGGAACCATGGTGAACCTGGAAGTTCTAAGGGTCTCCTTGTGCTGGAAAGAGAACTCTGGTTTGGAGGGGTTCCCAGGACTCTCACTTTAGGTACTGTAGGACGCAAGGGATCATGTCTGCAAGCTGGTCCAGAGATGGGTACTGATATCTGGAAAAGAGAAGCACGTTAAGGAAGATACCAACCTGCCCTCGCACCCCCACCTCAGGATATCCTACTCATTCTCTCCCAGAATCACCACTGCCCTCCCTTTCCTCCTTCCCAGTCGAACCTTTCCCACACCTGTCCTGTTCCTCACAGTCTGGTGAAGCGGTAACGACCTAACTCTTACCCCAAAGGGAACACAGGGGCTCCCTCTTCCATTCCAGGGGCATCCACATGAACCCGCACGAAGTTCTGAATGATTTCCTGCATGTCCCCGAATTGAAACAGTGGCTGGAAGCAAGATTTATCTAAAGAGAACCCACATCACCTCAACAATAGAATCAGACAGGGAAACATGTGCCCCAGTCAGAACTCACCCTTCTTTTCATGCCACAGACTAGGAGAGAACTTCTCCTTCCCACGCTGACCCCTCCCCTCCCTCTGGGTTTCTACCCTTCCTCCACAGCCTCTTTCCAGACAGGAGTGGGAGACGAATGAAGGTCCTTACAGTTGAGTCCCACATCGTGGTAGGTAAGGATCGCTGGGCGTTTGGGTTTGGGGGTGCCATAGACAGTGAAAGTGACAGAGCCATACGGTGTCTCCACAGAGTGAATCTGCAGGAAAACAGGGCACCAGGAGCTAGGCTCAGAGAAGACGAGGCCAGAAAAGGAGCAACACCAAGGTCAGGGAGCTGGGAGTGGGCGGGCAAGGGGGAAAAGGGAACAAAGAATTAAAAACAGGATCAGCAAGAACTGAGGAAAACACAACACTGGAAGATGAGTCAAGATTAGAATAAGAAAGAATAATGAAGATTAGAGAGAGAAGAGTAGGGGGAAGGAAGGAGAGGTGAGAGATAGGGAAGGGAAAGGACAGAATAGAAGGAAAGAAAACGAAGAGAGAAGGGCCAAGCAGAGGCCATCTTTCTACTGAGGAAGAGGAGAGCCCTTCCTCCCACCTTGGGACTGCCCCCACACTGTTACCTGTCCCTGGTCCAGGAGGATTTGGGCAGCTAACTCAGCCTCCTGGAGAGACACACACAGACACACACAGAAACACACAACCATGTGGTGTCCCAGATGGAGAGACAGACAGACAAAGAGAGACAAGTAAAGTCCAACAGAGACCAAAGACAGAAAGAGATTGACAAAGAGAGACATGGAAAGGATGAAGATTAGTGTAGTGACAAGACAACGGCCTGACTCCCAATTGTAGTGTATGGGGAGAGAGACTAGGGTGGAAGTGGAGAAAGTAGTGGTGTGGGTTAGAATAAGATCAGGCTTGGGAAGTTAGAAGGCAAGGGGGATGCTTAGAGGTCTCAAATTTGGGCATGGGAGTCAAACGGTCTCTAATAACCTTGGCCGCCTCAGGCGTCTGTCCTGGCAGCAGTGGCTTCTCCTCTGTGATCTGCACCTCCTGCAGCTCCGCCATGATGCCTGGTAGGATGAGGAAACGAGACTGGGAAGTTGTCTCCACATCCCCACATCTCCTCAAACACCAGGCTTCCTCTCTCAGCACAGGAAGATGCAGGGAACAGAGGGAGCCAGGGGTTGAAGACTACTCCAGAACACGAAGAGGGCCTTTCCTGCCCCCAGCTCCATTTCCAGGCTGATTGGTGGAAACTTTGGAAGAGGAATCAGGACACCGCTTCTCTTGATACTCACCATCCCCACCGCCACCCTCAACACCCACTCCTCCAGACCCCCTCCCTCCTCTGCCCTGGACCAAGATACCAGGGTGGGGCAGAAGCGTAGCTCAGATTTCCCAGGCTATCTTTAGGGTCTACTCTACACTCTCAGGTAGGGAGCGAAACTCGTAGCTCAGTGACTGAATATTCTAAAGGACAGGGTACCAAAAGACAGGATTTTGAGAGCTCACAATTGACCATGACCTTCAAGTAAAGCCCCAAGGTCGGCAGCTCAAAGGGGGCTAAAAATGACCAAAGTAACATGACCAAAGGGTGAGGTGGGGAAAACAACATAAAAGGGACATCTGTCCAACCAACCCAATGCCTCCCTTCCTCCCAAGACTCTTCCTCCCAACTCTGAATAAACTCCGTAAGTTCAACATTAGTGGGTGAGGAGCAGAGCACCTGGACAGACTTGCACAGGAAGGAGCCTGCAGCCTGCGAAGTGGGGTCACTTACTGGGCTCCTATTGGCTGGATGCAGTGGGATTAGGGGTCAGGGTTCTCACTCCTGACTCTGGGGTCTGAGAAAACACAGCCACGAGGTGAATGACATGGGAGACAGACCCGGGGTCTTTTAGTTACAGAAAGCCTCAGCCAAGACCCAGACTCCCAGGGTCATCAACCTCCGCGGGTCACTAACCCTCCCCAGTGTCTACTCCTGAGTCCAGAGAACACGTCCTCTCTAGGCTCCAGCCGGAATCAATACAGGCTACAGGGGCATCAGTTCAGGCTGCGCGGAGGAGAGAAGGAAGTGCTGATGTGGAGGAAGCCTCCGGATTCGAATCCCGGCTCTGCCACTCCCAGTGTGACCTTGCCCCAGTTCGTTACTACATTTGGCCTCAATTTTCTATCGGCAGGGGGACTAAACGCGGGGGACTAGGGGATCCCCAAAATTTTTGACAGCTCTCCAGTAAGAGGAGGGTAGCAGAGCATGGCTGTTTCCCTCCACAATATAAAAACAAACACAAAGCTTGGTGCCGTCGCTTCTCTCCTCTACCCAGTCTCCGCGTAGGTCCCACGAGTGGAGAAAGGGAGAGGAGGGCGGTCCCACAATCTCCTCCCGGTCTCCCCCGACGGCCCGCGAAGGCAAGCGCCATCGGGAAGGGATGGGTAGGACAGAGGGGACTGGCCGGGCCCAGCATCCGGAACCCGTCCCTACGAGTCCCTACGCAGCCCGTCCGCGTGGAGACGGACACCCTCGCGTGGCTGGTGCCAAGCGCCCCGGACCTTGCACACAACCTCGCGCGCACCCCAAACACGCCCTGCCGCTCTCGGAGCCTCAGCCTTTGTGCGCAGCAGCCGAGCGCCCCCTCAGTGCCGGCCCTTTCCCCAGAGCCGCCAGCTCCAGGGGACGGGGATCAATCACACCGCCCACCTACCCGGCTGGCGCCTTCCAGGCCCTGCGGCCCCTCGCCTGCCCCTCCCCCTACCTGCTGCAGCCGCTGCCGCTTCCACCTTCACTTGCCTTTGACTCGGGCCCGCCCCGGCTCGGGCTCCCCGCAGACCCGCCCCCGGCCCGCCCCAGCCCGCCCACGGGCGCTTGGCTCCCCGCAGACCCGCCCCAGACCCCCAGTAAACACGCCCCACCTTTCACCCCGCCCAGACTGCCGCTCAGGGAGGGGTTGTGCTGGGACCGGGGGACTGGGGGCGGGCGGCTAGACGCTTCCAGGCTCCTCTCGAGCTCACCATAACATTCCCCCCACCCCCCGCATTGGGGCGGTGTGGGGAGTGCGGGGATCCCTCAGCACTGCGAGGGATCCCTCGGCTGCCCTCAGCACCGCCCCTATCCATGACCTGGATCTGCAATTCGCACTCTGGCTCCTTCCTTCGCCCCCAGACTCAGTGGTGGGAACCGGTAGTGGGGAGACGAACCCGGGATACTGACACCCCACGAGTTCGAATCCCCCCGCCCGAACACAGAGAACTAGATTAAGAAAGGAGGAGGTGGGCGGGACCGCCGCTGAGGAGGCGGGGGTCTCGCCCGGTGGCAACGGCAGGTGTGCCGGCGCCGAAAGGGGGTACGGGGGAACGTCGAGGGCACAGCAGTTCCGACTCCCTAGTGCCCAGAGTCCTGGTACCTCTCCTCTCTTTGCTGCGTCCAGACGCCTGCTCTCCGGCTGCTCCGGGAGAAGTTGGACAACAAGGCGGGGAGGGGGGGCGGGGAATGCGGGGGGCCGCTATAAATAGAGGGCGATCGCGGGCGACGCGGGGGGGTGGAGAGGATGGCCAACAGGGACTCTGGGGTCAATGCCTCAAGGGGCGACGGGGGAGGGGCCGGGGACCCCCAGAGGCTCTGACTCCTGGGTAAACAGGCGCAGGGGCGGAGTTAACCCTGCGGGGGTGGAGTAGGGGCTTGGGTAGGACGCAGTGTCCCGGGCTGGGACCCAAGAGACCCTGTGGCTTCGCCGCTAACCCCTCCCAGTCCGGCCCAGAAAAGGAGACCAGCTCAGGCCCGCTGAATCGCAATGCCCAGGCGATGGTCTCAGGGACTGCCGCGTCCCTCTCGGTGCCCGAGTGGGTTTGCCACTCTAGACTTCACACACACACACACACACACCCCAGATGAGCCCTCTTTGTGCCCCTCAGAGGAAGGCTCCCTGGAATGAGGTAGTTGATTAGATAATGTGGCTTAAGGAAATTCGAAGTTGTTTAGGCAAAAGGAAACCTGACTGAATTTCTCCCCTCCTGCCCCCTTTGTAGCTCCCCCAATCCCAGGATCATATCCACCCCAACCCCCTTCAGACTGGTTCCTGAGTTGCCATTTCGGGGGCCGGGCGTCAGGCCAGTCAGGAACAATGGCCAATGGAACTTGAGCTGCCAACTGCAACACCAGCACTGACTGCCCCCCCAAGACCCCCAAGTTCCCCTGCCCCCTTCTGCCTGGGAACCACCCTCCCACCGCCACCCTCACCACCCGCAATACCCCTCCCATCCAAGGAACATCAATGCCCCTTTCATCCCCACTTGGCAGGGTCTACTGGAAAGAAGGAGAGGCCAAGAGGGAGGAGGTGACCCAGAGTAGGAGAACTGGTCGGGCTAAAACCCAGCCTTCCACAACCCCAAATCTAAGGCCCCCACTACATTCCCCAATTTGGAGCACCCAACTTTTCTTCTGTTCCTTTCTCCCACTCCCTTTATAACTTTTTCCCCAGAAACTGGCACATGAGCTGGGCGCCCTGGCTCCTCTCCTAGGCCCCTCTTCCCTCTGGATGCCAGTTTAACACTCTCCTGGATGAGGAAAAGCCTGCTGGAATAAGGATCACAGCCAAAGGTGCGGAAGACAGGAGGGATCTCACCAGCCCCAGAGGAACCTGGGGAGAAGGAGAGCCTGGAGTGAGAACTTTGTCTGCAGGCTTTTCTTTGTCGAAAGTAGTCTTACTTGGAGTGGGGGAGGGAAGGACCTGAAGGTTCCAGCATCTAAATTCGTCTCTGGGTCAGGATGACTCAGGGGGAACCTGATAAGAGGCCGACGCAGGGGCGCAGGGCAGGCAGGAGGTGGGAAATTTCCACTGAGATCCATTGGCTTCCTAGACGTAGGGGTCCCACCCAGTCTGCTGCAGGCAGAGGTAAGGCTGGTTCTACCCTAAGATAGGGTTCTTCCATGTCAGGGCAGCTCCCAGCCCAACCAGGGTGTAAGTGTTGCAAGGACAATCTCTCTCTCAACTCTTTCCCTTTGGCCAGAGCAGCTTCAAACTATACCTTCAACTAAGCAACAGTTTTAAGTATCTGTTATGTGCAAGCCACTGTGTAGATGAAATTCAAAGTGTGAGTCTGTTCACACCGTCTCTAGACGTTTGTGATGAGAAATGACATTTTGACATTTGTCGAGAGAAGGTACAAACACAGGACAAGTTAAGAAAAATTATGTATATATAAGATCAATCATCTGGACAATAAGTCCTGTAGCAGTAGTTTCCCACCCTTCTTGAGTGGGTGATCAGAGATTTCCAACCCCACATAATAGTTTTTGTATCCTTTGATGGAGAAAATACAAACTATGAATTCATCAATACTTTGAAGTAAGTTTCTGTCACAACGTCTGTAAATGTAGTAATACCTACACATGCAAGGCGTATTATTTACTCAGTTTACACTCACTCTTTATACATACAGATTCTAGGGCCCTTTGCAAGATTTCAGAAATCCTCACGCCAGAAGGCTGTGGCCCACAGTCTAGAAACCATTTTCTTACTATAATTCAGAGAAGGAAAAGGGCTTTGTTCCTAGGGTGAACCACCAAGATGAGAAATGCAATCATGGAATACTTGAGTGGGCGTGAGGGGCATTCTATCCAGGCAGAGAGAGAGCATGAAGGACAGTCTGGAGGCAGAAACACTCGGGTTACTTTGGAGAACTGAATAGTAGCTTCCCATATATTATCCCCTAATACCATAAGGTTAGTGTTATTGTCCTCACTGTACAGATGAGAAAATTGAAACTCAGAAATGTTCAGTGACTTGCCCAAGTCCACTCAGCTAGTAAATGACATATCTAGGATTCATTTTCCCACCCAGATCCATTCCACTCCAGGGACTATGCTCCTTGCACTACCAAGTAGCCTGTCAAGTGTATAGCAGTTAGGCCATATGACCCCAGCTGAAGAATAATCTGGTTCTTAGGGTTTTTGTTTTGGGATTTTTTTTTTTTCTTTGAGATGGGGTCTCACACTGTCAGCCAGGTGGGAGTGCACTGACACAATCCTAGTTCACTGCAGCCCCAAACTCCCGGGCTCAAGCAATCTTCCCACTTCAGCCTCCTGAGTAGCTGTAGCTGGGACTACAGGTGCATGCCACTGCTCGCAATTACTTTTTTTATTATTATTTATTTATTTAGAGACAAGGTATCACTTTGTTGGCCTCCCAAAGTGCTGGAATTATAGGCGTGAGCCACTGTGCGCCGCCCAAGAATGATGTTGATGAGAGGTGGGTGATGTTTGGTAGGGTAGATTGGGGCCTAGTTAGTTGTACAGGTCCTTGAATGCTAAGCAAGAAGATTTAGCCATGAGAAGCTGTAGTATATCTTGAGCCATAGAATGTTCCTGAGCAGGAGTAATAAAAAATACTGCTTTGTGAAAACTAATCTGATGGGGAGGAGGTTATACAGATGGATTATGGGTGCGTGGGAGTGAAGAATTAGATTTAGGAAAGAGATCATTTAGAAGCCAGAGTAGTCATCCAACTATGAGATGATAAGAACTTGAATAAGGGTAGAAGTAATAGGAATGGAAAGAAAGGAGTAGATTTGTAAGACAAAGAAAAAAAATAGAAATTGGTGGCATTATTAGATGGGAAAAGGAGGAAAGTCACCAGTCTCATTGCTCTGTTTTAGGATCCATGAGGTTCATCTATCTGTAGGGCCTCTGGCCAGAGAAAAGGCCAAAGAGAGAAAACCCTGAGGAACATCTTTGACCTGCATAGAAACTTATCTAAAGATTTTCAGAGTCTGAGCCTCACCCTCAGTCCATCCCAGTTTTATCCTGAGCTGTCCACATCTGTTACTCTCCAAGGCCTACTGGACCCAACACTGGAAGCCATTTAAAGTTTCTATTGAGACTGGCCTTTTAAAGGATTCTCCATGCTACACTTGAGCCTGGAGACTAGAAAAAATGCCAGCCTGTTTTCATTAACTGCTATGGTCTGAATGTTTATGTTGTCCCCAAATTCATATATTAAAATCCTAACTCCCGGCCGGATGCAATGGCTCACACACGTAATCCCAGCACTTTGGGAGGCTGAGGCAGGTGGATCACTTGAGGTCAGGAGTTTGAAACCAGCCTGGCCAACATGGCAAAACCCCATCTCTACTAAAAATGCAAAAATTAGCCGGGCACAGTGGCTGAGCTAATCCCAGCTACTGGGGACACTGAGGCATGAGAGTCGCTTGAATCCTGGGGCTGGAGGTTGCAGTGACCCAGGATCATGCCACTGCATTCCAGCCTGGGCAACAGACAGCAAGACTCTGTCTCAAAATAAATAAATACATAAATAAATAAAATCCTAACTCCCAAAGTCATGGTATTAGGAGATGGGGCATTTTGGGGGGTGATTTAGTTTTATGAGGGCAGAGCCTTTCTAAATGGGATTTATACCCGTATAAATAGGCCCAAGGGAACTCATTCACCCTTTCAACCATGTGAAGACACAGCAAGAAGGTACCATCTCTAGACCAGAAAGCAGCCCTCATGAAACACTGAATCTGCCCATGCCTTGATCTTAGCCTTGTCAGCCTTCAGAACTCTGAGAAATAAATGTCTGTTGTTTATAAGCCACCCAGTTTATGATATTTTGTTATAGCAGCCCAAACAGACTAAAACAACTTCCCTGGGCTCGCCTCAACTTCTGTTGTGGGGCAGAGCATAAGGCAATTTGACTGGGACCCAGAGGATGGGTAAGCTTGGCTGAAATGATGGAAATGTAATCATCCGAAAAGGTCAGAAAGTTGGCAGTTTGCTCAGTTCAGCATGCAAGATAGGGAGACCAAAAGCCCCCTCCTTTGAAGGCAAGGGCTGTAGCTGGGACCAGAAGTGATGTCACATAAGCACTGCTGAGGTCATAGAAATTTCCCTCTCCTCCCTCTGTCTCCTCATTTGCAACAGCCAACTGGCTACCACATATCTGCACACACTTAAATACAAAGGCCGGGAAGGGTCAGATCACCGTCCAGGTAATCTTAGGTACATAAAAGAGGTGGGGGAAAGAGAGAATCATTCAGTAGGTAGGATCCATATTGGTATCTCCAGTGCTGGGAAGGGGAGACTCATGCTGTAGTTGTGTAGGTGCAGTGGGAGCTGGGAGGGAGAGAGGAGACACCAACAGGGAAGAGGGGAGCTGTTCCTGTTGCTGACTGATTTTACCTTAACACTCATCCTCTTTACTCCACAGTCCTCCCTCCCCCTCCTCCTTCACCCCCAAGTCTCTCCCACGACTGCCCTCCCCAACCTCTAGCTGATCATGGCATCAGAGGCAGAGAAAACATTCAATCGGTTTGCTGCCTTTGGAGAATCATCAAGCAGTGGCACTGAAATGAACAACAAGAACTTCTCCAAGCTATGCAAAGACTGTGGCATCATGGATGGCAAGACGGTCACCTCCACAGATGTGGACATCGTGTTCAGCAAAGTCAAGTGAGGAGCCAAAGATGTGGGGGTGGGGGTGAGAAGAAAGTGCGAGGTAGTTGGCCATGGAAGGGTTCATGTGGCGGAACATTTGCAGTGGGCCTACCAAGCACCACAGGGTACCTGGCACTGTGCTATTCTTTGTCATTGAGACACTTACTGATAGGACAAAAGAGGACAAATCTGAGTGAGGTAAGAGTTGGACCTTGGAAGGTAATGCATTTGTGCTCCAAAGTTTCTGGATTTCTGTCTAACTGACCAGGGCCAAGAACGCCCGAACCATCACGTTTCAACAGTTCAAAGAGGCAGTGAAGGAACTGGGCCAGAAGCGCTTCAAAGGGAAGAGTCCAGATGAAGTCCTGGAGAGCATTTATGGACTCATGGAGGGCAAGGACCCAGCCACCACTGGCGCAACTGTGAGTGACAGTCTTCATCCCCTTGACCCTACTTCCCTAAATCCCCATTGTTCCAGTCTACCCTCCCTAACCCTGCCAACTGTGTGACTGTAGAGACAGGGAAGAAACAGACTTTAGAGATCATCTAGATATTCCAGAAGTCAGGAAAATGTGGCCCAGAGAAGGGAAGCGACTTGCTCAAGGTCCATGGCTATTTTAATAGTGGATTTAGACTAACTTCCAAGTGTCCAGTGTCTGAGCCAGGCAGGTAGGGCTTGGTGGCTTTTGGAGGACATTAGTGTAGAGGATTTGGTACCTGATGCCCACTCCTCTTTCAGTTCTTATTTAGGGTTTGATCTCAGGCCTCCTGCCTCTCACCTACTCCCTTTTTTAATTGTCCTGTCTGAACTAAAAGCTCTTTCTACAATGGATATTGGGTTGGGGAGTGGGAGTGAAGTCCTCTGGCAGCAACCTAGTCAGAATACTTTTTGTTTCCTCTGGAAAGAAAAAAAAAACCACCCTCCCTCTGCACACACCACACTCATTCCCACACCACACTCCTCCTCCCCAACGAGTGAATGGCTCTTACCGGAGTTCCTGCCCACAGCTGCATCTGGGCCCTAAGAAAGCAGCACCCCATGCCAGTGGCAGAGCAAGAGCTCCAAGCACTTGTTCTAAGTATCTCTGGCCATCTTTGGGGAAGGGATATGACAGGGTAAGGAAAGGAAGAGGGTTCAAATCCATCCTCTGGCTTGCAGAAAGCAACAACAGTGGGTGCAGTGGACCGTTTGACAGACACCAGCAAGTACACCGGCACCCACAAGGAGCGCTTTGATGAGAGTGGCAAGGGCAAGGGCATTGCCGGACGGGAAGTGATGAATGACAACACAGGCTATGTGAGTGGTTACAAGGGTGCTGGCACCTATGATAAGAAGACCAAGTAAGGAGGAGCTTCATCTTAGCTCACTAGCCCCCTGACCCTGCATGTTTAACACCAGGGAACTTGGAAAATAATAAACATCTGTGTGTGCAGCAGCTAAAATCTCTGTCTATGAGGGACAGATGGGCCTACTAGCGTAGAGAGAGGGAGAAGAGGCAGCGCAGGAGTGTGGGTTCTCAACAACAAACCCTTCACTCTGCTTAGCCTTATGCCTACCAGCCATCAGTTAGCGTTCCTCCTCAACAGTTGCTTCCAAGAACAGGATGGAAGAATATATTTGAAGTTAAGAGATGAACCAGATGTGGAGGTAAAAGTATTTGCTACTTGTGTTCACATATTACTGATATTCACCTCTCCACCCCCACCCCCTAAAAGGGTGTAGCAGTTCCTGATGTGATGGACTATGACTGTATCATGTATTAGATCCTTCCCTGTCCCTCCACCTTCCTCATCTGTTACAGTTCAGGTTTTTTGGGTGGAGAAGTAGAAGCCAGCTAAGGTGGCCTGACTTCTATTACAAATTTGTTCCAGAGCTAGGGTAATGGGAGAGTCTATTTTCAACACCCAGCCCAGCACTAAGTTTTAGCCCACATCACCTCCATCATGGTGCACATGGGACAGAAGAGCTTACAGACTGCTAAGGGTAGCTCAGGAAGATGGCCAGATGGGGGAGGCTGCCAGGATTCCAAGAGCAGGAGTTCTGGGGCACTGAAGAAAAAGCAATTAAATCACAAAGGAGTCAGGTGTATGTTCTTAACTTTTTATTTTGAAATGATTATGGATTCACAGAAAGTTACAAAAAAAAATAGTACAGAGGGGTCTCTTGTGCCCTTCACCCAGTTTCCTCCAATGGTTACATCTTACGTACTCAGATGTGGTTTTAGAAATTTATGTTTGATTAGAGCTGGGCCTGCCTCGTTCCCTGCCTGGTCAGGGGCAGACTCTGGAGTCTGGGGGATTTGGGAGGAGCTTCTGGAAGAGAAGGGAAGCAGGAACCTCTGTGGAATGGATGAGAGAAGATACCTTGAAATGCCAGTGAGCCAAGGTAAGAAGACTGGAAGAAAAAGAGGTTGGAAAAAGGAAGGCAGGGTGACTAAGGTGGTGGGGAGTTGGGGGGAGAGACAGTCTTAGGCTCCATAGTAAGAAGAAAGAGGAGAGGAAAGTTATATGAAGGGAGAAACAATGATTTCACAGAGAGAAACAGGCTGGAAACTGGGGGTTGTGGGGAAGTGAGGCTAACATGAGTCTGAAGGCCTCAGGGAGGTTCCTATAGCTAGCCATATCCCCTGAGTAGGTGGGTGAGTGGAGGGAATTATAAGGGAACTAGGGGAGGCTGAGACGAGAAGGGTGGTGGGAATGGGGAGGTGAGACTCGGAGCTGGTGCCTGTTGCCATGGTGTGAGCTGAGGCCCTGGGCCTCCATCCAGGACTTAGGATCTGGCCCAGTGGGTGGACAGTCACTGCCAACTGGACACAGTCAACTTCTTGGGTGGGTTTTACTGTCTCTGGGAGAGGGAGGATGATGAGGAGGTGGGGGTGAAGAGGGGGTAAACAAGCTGGAAAGAACCTAGAAGATAGCACCACTTCGCATGGTGATCAAAGCCCTGGACATTTTCCCACCCACCTGGTCTCTTGGGAGCGGACTCTGCCTGCCTCAGAAGTGAGGAAGGAAGTCTTGTTACAGGAATCAGAGTGTTGGAAATGGAGACAGGCTGGTCTGTGGTGGTAGAGGTTGGGGAATGACTCAGGAATTAAACTCCCGAATAGAGACCGATGATACCTATTGGATCAGCTTCATACTTGCGGGAGCAGAGTAGGTAGAGCTTCTGGTTGGTCAGGGTGCTATCATAGTAGCAACTGGTGGGTGGCTGTTGGTAGTTCAGGGAGCAGACCGTGATGGGGAAGGAATCCTCGGTGAGCGTGCAGTATTCATTGTAATTATCACAGAAGTTGTCACTATACTTGCAGAACCTCTTGATGACCTTCCAAGGGGCATGTACCACATAATGGATCTTTGGGCAATCCGAATTTTGCACCTTGCCCCGCATATAGGACATCAGACCATTACAATAGCCCTTGAAACTCTTTGGGAAGATAACCCTGGGATAGTCAACGTTTAAAGCATAGAATTTCTTTTTGCCAATCTGTGTCTTGATGTCCATGACCAGAGTTGGCCCTAGAACAAGCTGAAGGAAAAGGAGCCGGGTCACAGCTGGTGCCATTCCTCCTGCTGGTAGAGTTAAGGTGGTTGGGGGCAGCAGTGGGCCTGGAATGACTGTCTGCCACATCCCAGAGCCTCCAACATTCCCAACCCAACAGTACTTTAGAGATCATCTCACCCATAACCGAGTTCTCATGACCCAGAAAGAGGAGATGCTTGCCCAAGGCCACCCAGCCAACCACCCAGCTGAAGGTGAAGCCACCCCACCTTCAGCCACCCCTGCTCCCTTGGTCCACCACAGAAATCTCAGCCTCTGCAAAGTTTGTGAACTGCAACACTTGCAGAATACGAGCTCTAACTGGCCTTGGGTGAGAGACTCTTCCCAATTATCCTTGGGCCCCTGGCACTCCTGCTAGTAAAAAATGCAGAGAAGAAAGAAGGAGCAGACTGACCTGATAATTCTCTGGCAGCTGGGAGGAAGGACAGGAGCTGAAGACAGCTGGGTAGGGACGGGTGTTCTTCTTGCCGAGGCCAAGACAGTCAGGAGATGAGGAGAGGCTAGAAAGGTTTCTGAGTAAAGATCAGTCTGGGAGGAAGGAATGTCCCCTGAGTTTGATGAGCCCCTGTGCTGAGGGGGTTGGATGGGTGGGAGGAAAGAGGCATTGCCATCTGGTCTCCTCCTCTACAGTGTCATTGGAACACTTAGTTCCAACCTCCCTGCCAAAAGTTCCTAAGTGTCTGGGCTTTCTTTGATGTTTTCTCTGTTCCATAGCCTGTGCTCTCATGGCAAGGTGAGTAGGAAAGCACTGTTGTGTTTCTGAGGAACAAAGTGCTTCTTATTCCTGACCCTCCGAGAACAAAGCGTTCACCACTTTGTCATCCCACTCACGGGAGCCCAGGAGGGCATGTACTCAGGGGCCTCCCACCAAAGTGCTGGGCTGAGAATCAAAGACCTCCATGTGGACTCCCCACAGTCCCTATCAGCCTTACTCCTGTCATACCCACAGCGCTCACCTGTGACCTCAGGCCTTGTCAGAGTCTGAGCACTACTGGAAATGTCTGCATGCTGACTCTGAAGCCTCAAACTTGGCAGGTTGGATTTGAAAGCATAACCTGAACATGAAAAGCTGTGGATGCCAGAGCCTGGCGTGATCTGTTTCTTACTGTTGGTTGGTCTCTGAGTGGTTTGCCATGCTGGGGAAAGGGCCACACTCCTATCTTTTTTTTTTTTTTTTTTTTTTTTTTTTGAGACGGAGTCTTGCTCTGTCACCCAGCCCAGGCTGGAGTGCAGTGGCGCGATCTCGGCTCACTGCAAGCTCCGCCTCCCGGGTTCACGCCATTCTCCTGCCTCAGCCTCCCGAGTAGCTGGGACTACAGGCGCCCACAACCGCGCCCGGCTAATTTTTTGTATTTTTAGTAGAGACGGGGTTTCACCGTGGTCTCGATCTCCTGACCTTGTGATCCGCTCGCCTCGGCCTCCCAAAGTGCTGGGATTACAGGCGTGAGCCACCGCGCCCACACTCCTATCTTTTTCATCAACATCTTCCCTTTCATCACAATCAAAGAGCTAACTAGCTCCCTGGAGCCTGCTAGCCCTCACTCTTGACTTCCACAGATCACTCAGCCTTGTCTGTCTGCAAAGTGTCTTCCAGATTTGGGGCCTCCTCTTAGGACAGCCTTTTTACCTTTGCTGGACAGCAGAAAAGGGGAGTCAGAACACAGAAAGCTGAGTGCTCCAAGGCCCCCAGTATAGCTCAGGAGGAGGGAGTAAAGCCCCAGAGGGACAGATTGTTGTTCCTCATGTACAACCCCCTAAACTGGCACTTTCTGACAACACAAACTACAGTCCAAAATGGAATCCATCTTCCTCACAACTTGTTTCTCTTCCTGTGTTGTCTATCTCAGTTTCCCTGGTTACCTATGCAAGACACCTGAAAGTGATTCTAGACCCCGCCACCTCCCCAGTCCCAGCTATGGGGAGGCAGTCCTGCATGGTGGTGAAGATAAGGCTTTTGAGTAAAACAGACCAGGAATTGAATCCTGCCTCTGCAGCTTATAAGCTGCACACCACCTGTCTGTTTACTAAATCACTGAAAGCTTCCTTGTTTCATCTGTTCATGAGGATAGTATTTTTTACCTCATGGCAGTATTAGGATCCATTAAGATGTATATCAAGAGGTTTTAGACCAGTGCCTGGCACATGGTGAGTCCTCAGTATGAGCCTGAGTCCATCAGTCACACAGCCCTGACAATCTTAAACTTTTCCCAAGCCCATCTCTTCCATTCTTATTTCTTTCTCAGCAGATGCTCTTGTCTGTCCTGGACACCACACACACTCCAACTCCAGTAAGACTCAACTCAAGTATATATCTGATTCAACTTCAAGAGAAAAAATGTGGTCCCTTCTTTCGTCTAAAACTCTGCAATAGCTTGTTTCTCATAGGGTAGGGGTGCCCAAACTTTTGGCTTCCCTGGGCCACATTGGAAGAAGAATTGTCTTGGGCCACACATAAAATACACTGTCACTAATGACAGCTGATGAGCTTAAAACATGCAAAAAAAATTCATAATGTTTTAAGAAAGTTTACGAATTTGTGTTGGACTGCATTCAAAGCCATCCTGGGCCACACGTGGCCCATGGCCCATGGGTTGGACAAGCTTGTCGTAGGGTATAGTCCAAACTACATCTCACAGGACATAAGATTTCCCATGATCTTGCACCTGCCCATGTGTGCAACTGTGTCTGCATCCCTGCTTCATTCCCACCTTGTCCCTCACCTCCTCCATGCTCTATCTCCTGCTGTCTCCTCTATCTGGAACCCTGCTGCTGCACCACCCCTTCTCGCCCCCATCTATCTCATGGTGCTAGCTCATAGAAAGACTCAACCCAGAGGTCCCACTTAGAAAGCCTCTGGTTGTAAGGCCTCCCCAAGGAAGTGGGCACAGTCAAGTGAGTGAGGAGAGAGCCCACATGGGCAGGTGGCTCATCTGTATTCTTCAGGCTGCTCAACAGGACAACACTGAGTGGGTGCCGATGCAGGGTGTTGCCTGAGCCTGGCTGACTCAAGCCTTTGCTTTGAGGAAGCCAACCACATTGTAGTCCCTGCCTTGAATCATGCCACCTCTTCCCTGGTCCCTCAAGGCTGCAGCTTCCCTGAGAATAGAAAGGGACTTTTTATACCTTTTGGTCTTCCTCTTCCTTCATTCCCCACCCATCCATCACTGCTCTTCACTCCCCACACCCAACACCACTCACTTCTGCCAGACAATTACAGAAACTGAACAGCACGTTATAGAGGAAAGCATTCAGAACTTAAATGATATAATGATGATGAGCCTTTGGGTTCCCAACTGCAATCCTGGTGATCTATTCCCTAAAGTCCTATCCTAGAGGTGCTGATGAATAAGATTACTTCATCCATTCTGACATCCTCATCATGGTGTCATGTGCTCTGTAAGCCTGAGATTAGTGGGATTGTTGTCCCATTACACTGGGTTTTACATACTCAAGCATTACCCTAGGGATGAAAAACTAAGTTCTAGAGGGACAGTGGCTTGCTCAAGGTCATATGTCTAATTCAGTAGTTCCAGGGACAATTGGATAATGTCCTTTTATCCAATTGTCATTTCTGGAGACATGTCATTTCGGAGACATTTTTGGTTGTCACAACCAGGACTTGCTACTGGCCTGTGGCCAGGGATATTGCTGAACATCCCACATTTCACAGGATAGCTCCCATAACAAAGAATTATCCAGACCAAGATGTAAATAACACTGAGGTTGTGAAGCCCTGGTCTAAATAATTAGCTAAACAAATTTCTTAACAAAAGCAGACTTACTTGTATCTTATGTGTTAATGAAAATGATAAACATCTGTGACTTCAAAAGATTTTTGTTAAACAAATGTTGATTGTAATGGTGCTGATTCTACCAGCAAAATGTGTATTGATAGTTCACTATTGAAACAATAACTAAGTTGTTTTTCCTGTAAAGATGACCCTCTGCATGTAATCATTTACACATTCTCTCCCTGCCCTCCCCAATGGTAAACATTTGTAGAACAACTGGCTAGGGTGGCAGGTGCAAGGGTGACTCCCTATGACTGAGGAGAACCCCAAAATTTTGCCTTGAGTGGGCTCACCATGATCTCATTGGCATTACCCTTTGCCCTGTCCAATTCAAGTTGCTCAAACAATATACTGTGTCATGGACAGTTCCTGAGCTGTCCTTGAAACCGAAGGATTGCCTCAGCCATCTCAACCTTCTTCTCGTAGCATCACCTCAAACCCAGGGCTGAAGTCCAGAAGCTGCATTGTCAGTTCCTCATCTGCTAACCATCTCTGTGGGCTGGTAGCAATCCCATCTCAGACTGGGATCATTGAGGAGCAGACAGAATGCCTTCTAAAAGTTGAATCAGTTAGGGTCACTTATATGCAAGGCATTATGCTATATACTGTGAAATGTGCAAAAGAAGTATAACAGGTGGTCCTCGTGTTGTGGGAATTGACAGTCTATGAGAAAGATAATACATACATATGAAGAAATAACCAGTGATTCAAGGCAGAAAATGATACATTCTGAAGACAGTAAATGCTGTAGGAATTTAGAGGTGAGAAAGATGTCTCTGAATTTGGAGGGTCAGAGAAAGTTTTCCTCAGGGGTAACCCTGGCTTGGAAATGGATCTCGTGGTGAAGTTAGAAGTTAAGCGGAGATAAAGAAGATTATGAAAGACATGCTTGAAAAATGGGGGGAAACCCGTCTGGCTGGGGTTGAGGCACTCAGTGGGAGAAAAGTCAGAGATAAAGTTAGAAAGACAGATTTGCCCATTTGTGGCAGACCCTGATTACCAGGCTAAGGAAATGATACTTTGCTCTGTACATAAATGGGGAGCTGGGAGGGCTTGTGAGACAAGGCTTCAGTGAACCCCCGAATCAGTTTCCTCTTTCCTCCATCCTGGCTTGTCTAAAGGCATTGGTCTGGGAGCCAAGGATTCCAAACTTCTGTCAGTGCTGCCTCCTTCTGACCCACAGCTGTTCCAGGAAAGGTCATGGGAATTCAAGGACCTGAAGCAAGTCCCACATCTGATCTCAACTTGCTGTATGTTTCACTTTCTCAGTCTACAAAAATGAGCCCATTACCTTTATTTATCAAAGGACCAACAAAATTAGGATAACAGGACTTGGATCTGCTCTTGCTTGGAAGGAAACTCTCATGGGCTTTCCATTGGTATCCAGAGGCTGTGTGGAACTCCGGAAGGCAGAGAGGCTTGGCTCTGAAGGGTAGGCACCAATCCAGGCCCAGCCCTCCTCTCTCCCTTCCCCCTTCACTCCCTCCCAGCACAGGCGAGAGGAAGCAGCAGCTGTTGTCCTGTGGGGAAGACAGGCAGAGGTCCACCTGGCACTGTTGGGATTTTCACAACACCCGCCCCAACTTAAACACACACACACAACAGCAGCCTAAGGAGAAGCTCGGCCAACAGCAGTAACTTCGACGATAGAATGAGAAGGAAGCAGGGGTAAAGACTGCTGGTGTAAGGGACTTTTTCTTCCCTTCTGTCTTCTCTCCCACAATTTTGTCTTCTGCTCTTGCTCTCTCTAAGTCTTTCTTCTCCCTCCTGTGAAACTCCTGAACCAGTCCCTGGCCTGATGCCTGAATCTTTTTCTTCTTCCTAACCTTGTCCCCCTTCCTCCATCTTTTTCTGTTGCCCCATGAATGCAGTGAAGGCAAAATAGCAAAATTAGCCTACCAAGTACAAGGTGAAGCAGATCTTGGAAGCTGGATAATTTGGGCACACAAACAGAATCACCTCCCTTATCCAAATAATTGAGGCAAAACAAAGGTTTCAGTTGAATTGCACATATGGTAGGTTCAACTCTATTTCAATTTTCATGTGCAAACTTAAACCTTTACTCTCTTTTCCCTTTGGACTGAGGCAGTAGGGCCATGTTTATTTCACTTTCACACAGTCCTAAGGCAGCCTTCTACACAGCCCAGCATACTCGAGTTGAAGAACAAACTAGGATAATTACAATGTCAGGAAAACACAAGTGCAGAGGGAAGTTTAAATCATGGCTGGAAGACATCTCACTCTAGAATAATGAGAAGTAGAAAGGAGACCAAGCTAGGCATTCAAATGAGCTTGCAGCCTTCCGCCCAGCCTCCATTCCAAAGGCTAGACTGGCCTCTGCTGATACACATTTGATACACAGCCTGGTTTAAACCGTGGGTTTTATCTCCTAACATTCATGTTTCTACAGCAGCAGGGGCATAATTCTCTATCCAGAACTTCTATCCAGAAGTTCAGCCTGCAAAGCTTGGGACACCTTAACAAAGAAGTGAACAGCTGTTCCCCTAGCCAAGGCCTCGCTGAGGACAAACCAGAAGAGCCAAAGGCCTGTGTGAATTTGTTCTTGATTCTCTTTTGCCATCTAGTGGCATTTCTCATCTCCAACACCACTTTTTCTTCTAAAGATCCTTCATCCTGACCCCCAACCCACAGCTGTGCTGTCCGTCTACTAAAATAATGTCCTCCTGGACTCAAAACAAACTCCCCATCCTCCTGACTCAGAATCATAAATGCTGGACCAGAACACAAACCTTATGATCAGGATGGGTTGTGCGACTTCTCCACAGTTATAATCCACACAACAGCCAGGTAATCCTTTAAGCAGACAAGTTCTTTGTTCATTACTTAGAACCCTCCTAGGGTTGCCTATTGTGCTCGGAGTAAAAGTCACAGGCCTTCAAATGGTCTGTAAGTCTTCCCAATGACCTTGTCTCTGGTTCCTCTCTGAACTCTCAGTCACCTGCTCCAGCCACACTGGACACACTGCTGTTCCTCCAACACCTTAGGCATCTGTCTGCTCTGGGGCTTTTGCAGTGCTAGTCTCTTCACTTGAAACATTCTTCCTCCCTGATAATCACAAGTTCACTCTTATCTTCAAGTCTCTGCCCCAGAGTCAGCAATTTCAACCATCTTATATAAAATTACTGACCGCCAACCCCTATACTGTTCTACTTTTTTCCCCAGCAATTATCACTTTGAGCAAAGTATACATTTTGTTTTTACTGTCTTTCTCCAATGGAATGTAAGCTCCACAAAGGCAGGGACTTTTGTCTTTGTTTGTTTTTGTTGTTTGTGTGTTTGTTTTTTGAGACAGGGTCTCACTCTGTCACCCAGGCTGGAGTGCAGTGGTGCAATCATGATTTTTCAACACAGATTTTATCTCCAAAGCTCAAGCAGTCCTCCCACCTCAGCCTCTGGAGCAGCTGGGACCACAGGCACGCACCACCATGCCTGGCTAATTTTTCAAATTTTTCATAAAGACAGAGTTTCGTCACATTGCCCAGGCCGGTCTTGAACTCGTGGCCTTAGGCAATCCTCCTGCCGTGGCCTCCCAAAGTACTAGGATTACAGGTGTGGCCCACCGTACCTGGCCATTTTTGCCTTTTTTGTTCAGTGATATATCCCAAGTACCTCAACACTGAGTAGGTGCTCAATAAATATTTGTTGACTACATGAATGAATCATGCCCAAGATTCTGAGATTACCTACCACTTACAGGTAAATTCTGAAAACAAAAATACTACTCATCTCAGTTTCACAGGCCTTCTCACGCACAGAGGGTGATGCTTCTCTGTCTTGGCGTCTCGGTTCTCCTGAGTGTCATATTCCAAGCTCCCAGGAGCCCCCAGAGTAGCACTGACCCAGACGCTACACACAGCTGTCACCACCACAAGGAACAGGACATACAAAGTGAAGGAAGCACTAAGGCAGGATGTTGAGAGCAGCAACACCAATAGCATTTTAAACACAAACATTTGGGAAGTATTAAAGTTTCGTAATTTTCAATAAAAAAAGGAGGGAACAAGTGAAATTGAGAGGTGTTGGCTGCCCTCTCCAGGTAAAGCCACATGGCCTTGGTTGGTACCTGGAACTGGAGAGGCCCATGAATCATTGTGGAATGGCTTTGCTACTGGGGATGGTGCCGGGCATCATGACAGTGATGATTCACCCACCTCCCTCGTGTCTCTTCCATCTCCTCCGAAAGGTAAGCAGTATCTCCAGATGACAAGGAATCAGACAAAGCATCTTTCTAGGCTGTTCGATCTGTACCTCAGGTCAGAGAAGAAGCAACCCTTAACATCACAGTGATTGACTCTTCCCAGGATCGTGGACCATAGGTGTATATGAGAGGATATAAATGACAACTCTTCCTGAAATTGATTTCAGTTGACACCTGGATCAGGTGTTCTATTAAAGAGTCATTAGAACCATGTGGCCAGGGGACAAATATAGTCTTTGAATGTGACGATTCAAGCTTCCTCATTGCTGAACATGTTTAGGCAGGTACAGGCATCCTTAGGTGTCCACGTATTTGGGACATGTAAGTGGAGAGGCATGAACCTGATTCATTTCCTGATCCAGTGATGCTCCCCAGCCCGCCTCCAAACAGACGCAGCATAGCCCAGGCCAGCTCTTAAGGAGTTCAGGAGTGAGAAGAGGCCCTCAGAGATCTGACAGCCTAGCAGCGCGTGGACACCGCCTCAGCCCGCTGAGCAGGAGTCACAGCACGAAGACCAAGTGCAAAGGTGAGGCTGCAGTAGGTTCTGGGGAGGAGTGAGGACAGAGAAGGAGGGATGGGCTCCGATCCTGACAGTACACTCGAGTGAGTGATAAAATGGTTAAAGGAGGGACTGGATTTAGGGGAGATGGGGACACGCATTGGGGAAAGGGGAGAGTGATGTTGGGGATGGAGGCAAAAAAAAAATGAAAAAGAATGGGAACACAGATGAGATGGGAATGGGGACACAGGAACATGGAGACACAAAAGAGATGAGATTTGAGGGAAAGGGGAGAGGACAAAGAGTGACAGGCAACAGGGACAGAATGAAGGGAGCAGAAATACAAGATGAGAGATGGGGCCACAGGGTTGGTGTTGGGACTGCAGCGGATGTGGACACACAGAAGAAGAGGCAGAGATGAGACAGTGAGGAAAGGAGACAACCGAGTAGGGAGATGGGTGATTAGCTCATATGAGCAAGTATAGGAGGACTAATTTCTCGACTGAACACCTGTGTCCCAGCGACCCCTGCCCTCCATTCTGACTGCTCCCCCCTTGGAGAGATGGCACCGGCCAGAGCAGGATTCTGCCCCCTTCTGCTGCTTCTGCTGCTCGGGCTGTGGGTGGCAGAGATCCCAGTCAGTGCCAAACCCAAGGGCATGACCCCATCTCAGTGGTTTCAAATTCAGCACGTGCAGCCCAGCCCTCAAGCATGCAACTCAGCCATGAAAAACATCAACAAGCACACAAAACGGTGCAAAGACCTCAACACCTTCCTACACGAGCCTTTCTCCCGTGTGGCCACCACCTGCCAGACCTCCAACAAAGCCTGCAAGAATGGCGATAAAAACTGCCACCAGAGCCATGGACCTGTGTCCCTGACCATGTGTCAGCTCACCTCAGGGAAGTACCCGAACTGCAGGTACAAAGAGAAGCGCCAGAACAAGTCTTACATAGTGGCCTGTAAGCCTCCCCAGAAAAAAGACTCTCAGCAATTCCACCTGGTTCCTGTGCACTTGGACAGAGTCCTTTAGGTTTCCAGACTGCCTTGCTGAGCCTCAATTCCCTCTCCAGGCCTCTGCACCACTCCCCTACACCCAGAGCATTCTCTTCCCCTCATCTCTTGGGGCTCTTCCTGGTTCAGCCTCTGCTGGGAGGCTGAAGCTGACACTCTGGTGAGCCGAGTTCTAGAGGGATGGCCTTTCATCTTTTTGTTGCTGTTTCCCCAGATGCCTATCCCCAAGAAAGGGGCTAAGCAAGCTCAGGGCTGTGGGTTCCCTGGTCTATGCCTTTGCACATGTCTCCCCTGCCCCCTGGCATTATGGCAGCATGACAAGGGGAGGAAATAAATGGAAAAGGGGCATATGGGATTTGTGGACACAGCTGTTTCTGTTCCTGAACTAGAAGTTTTCCCCAGCTCTGACGTGGCAGTGAGGTGACCTGAAGCAAAGAAAAATATAAATAAATACCACTTCATATTTGTGTAGAGCCTCCACGTGAATCCTCTAATCCCCTGTGACATAGACTTGACAGGGATTGTATGCCTTCTTTATGGATGAGGAAATGGAGATTTTAGAAAGCTTAATTAATTAAAGAGCTTGTCTAATTAGTTAGTAGCAGAACCTGGACTTGAACCTAGGTCTCATTACTCTAAATATAGTGTACTTTCTACTCTACCAGTTGGACAACAAAGAAGACACCATTACAGGGGCAAGAGAACTAGGTAAGAGTTCACCCATGAAGAAATGAGTGCTCTGAAGAGCCAGTTACCCTGTGTTGGCTGCAATAAAGATCATTACCTCTCTAGCCAAGAGATTGTTTATAAGGTGCTCTGGCATCTTATTCCTTCTCTCTCTTCCTCTCTAACCGCCCCTCCCACTTCTCTAGACCACTGCTCTTCTAACCTGGGCCCTGGGCCTGGCTCTGGCTGGATCCCCTTGGCCTGAAGACATAAGGCAAAGGGAGTGTCTCAACTTCATCCCCCAGATCCAGGATCACATTTCCTTTGACCTTAAAGGACTTCCATGGCCCTGAGCCTGCTTGTCACAAACAGGCTGGTGGGAGCTGCCAGAGCTTCCTTCCTCCTGATAATGATCTCCCCTGCCTCGTTGCTTCCCTGGCTCTCCACTCTGGCAGTCTGCCCAGGCCTGAGGGGTTGAGATGCGAAAATGCCATTTCCCCGTCCCCCTGGGCTACAGATACCATTTCTCCTGCTCTGGTAAGTGGAGCTGGAGAAGATATGGCTTGGTATTGGCCAGTCCTGATGGTCTCTCCAGCATTGCCTGACCAGCACCATCCCCTTCTTTCTTCCTTTATCTCAGTCCCAAACAAGCTGCATTGTATCCCATGCCCGCCCTATTTCAAACCCAAATTCATTTTAAGACATTCCCAACCCTGATGAGGATTCCACTCTACCTGTCCCTCCCTATCAACTGCTGTGCTTTTTCACTACTGACCAGAGTCAGAGTAAGCTTGGGAGCCAGACAGAATCAGGTGTAAATCCTGACGTCTACATGACCTCGAGCAATTGGCTAGTCTGTTTCTCTACAGCAAAATGAGAGGAATCCTACCTGCCAAATAGGATTCCAGGTAAAGATGTGGAAATGATATCTATGGAACTCCTGTCAGCCCCAAGGACTGATAGGTATTAGATCATGATAACTAGTAGTAGCAATCTCCATCTTTGGAAAACACGCAGACCAAGGCAAACACCCTCACTAAGGTCTCCCCAGAGACTTTCTTCTGCCAAAGTGATGATCATGAGTGGGTTAGAGGACAAGTCCGCAGGCAGAGTCCTGTGAGGCAGCCAGGTTGTCTGAGATGATAAGGAGAGAAGGTAGGGAAAGGATGATTAAAAGAAAGGAGAGCAGATCATTGAACAGTTCTAACAGAATGAGGGCCAATAAGTTGATGAGTTGGCCACCACAGCCAAACGACTGAGTGTAAAAATAACTACTACCTGAAAACAGAACATTGCCATCATCGAATGGACTTCTGGGATTCTTTAATAAATCTGAAGTTTATCCAAAATCTGAATTTGTTTTGAACTCTTGTGGTCACTATACTACATTTACCATTCTAAAGAGATGATTTTCACTTGCGGTGCATAGAAAAGCAAGATACTTGAGGCAGCCAATTTTTTTCTTCATTTTATTCTTTTTTCACAACTGTATCTTCTTTATTGATGATCTTTCTATGTATAATATAGTTTTAGAGACATTCCCCTCACAAAATTTAAAGTGGCTAAAAATTATGCCTTCAATACATCCTCCCAAAATAAGAATTTCCAAATAAAACTTTTTCTTGAAAGACTCATGACCTAAATAGCATTAAATAACTAGAAAGTTCTGAAGTAACCTGTGGCGATAGAGGTCAGAATAGTTGTAGCGTTGGGGAAGTACCAACTGTGAAGGGGCATGGGGGAGCCTTCTGAGGACCTGGAAATATTCTATTCTTGGTCTGGATATGTTTCCTATGTGAAAGCTCATTGAACTGCACACTTAAGATTTGTTTCAAGAGGTGGCAAGTGGTCATAAAAATAAATAAATTTTAAAAAGACGTGTATTTTATGTAAGTTTTATCTCCATTTCAAAAAACTCTTTCAAATATATGTACTTCTTATGGGATTATTTTATTTACATAGTAAATGATAATACACAAAGATTCTAAAAAGATTATGACATAATTAAATCATAGATAGAATTATGATGTAATCTAATTTCTATTGTTCTGTTTTGTACTATTTGTTAAATTAAATACTACTTGTGCTGTTTATTAAATTGTTGTAAATACATTGGGCTCAGCCAGGCACGGTGGCTCTCACCTGTAATCCCAGCACTCTGGGAGGCCTAACCAGAGCAGATTACTTGAGCCCAGGAGTTTGAGACCAGCCTGGGCAACATGGTGAAACCCCATCTCTACAAAAAATACAAAAATTAGCTGGGTGTGGTGACACATGCCTGTAGTCCCTGCTACTCCAGAGGCTGAGGTGATGGATCTCTTGAGCCCAGAAGGTCGAGGTTGCAGTGAGCCATGATCTGCGTTCCAGCCTGGGTAGCACTCCAGCCTGGGCACCACTGCACTCCAGCCTGGGTAACAGAATGAGAGCTCATCTCAAAATAAATACATACATACATACATACCTTGGTCTCAGAAGGTACAGTTGGCTTTTGAACAACATGGAGGTTAAGGGTGCCTACTGTGTAGTCAAAAATCCAAGTATAACCTTTGACTCCCCCAAAACTTAACTACTAATAGCCTATTGATCACCTGAAGCCTTACCAATAACATAAACATTCAGTTAACATATCTCTTGTATGCTATATGTATTATGTACCATATTCCTATAATAAAGTAAGATAGAGAAAAAAAAGTTGTCATTAAGAAAATAGTAAGGAAGAAAAAATATATTTACCATTCCTATAGTGGAAGAGGCTCATCATAAAAGTCTTCATCCTCATTGTCTTCACGTTAAGGAGGCTGAGGAGGAGAAGGAAGAGGAGGGGTTGGTCTTGCTGTCTCAGGGATGGCAGAAGCAGATGAAAATTGGAATTTAGTGGACTTGCACAGTTCAAACCATTGTTGATCAAGGGACATAAGGTTCTTCCTAAAATTCTCTAGCTAACACACTCTCTCCTATTATTTATGTTACCTGTGAACTAATTTCCTATTTTTTAACCATGTAGAAATTTTAAATAATTGTTTCATATATAAGCTCTCACAACCATTAATAACATCTTTCTTAAAATAATAAATAATAAATATTCATTTATACTTCCACTGGCTGGTAGACTTTCAATATAATAATTTTTTTAAATTCACAAGGAAAATTTCACTCCAGGTTACATCTAGAATACTCACCAATATTTGGAAGTAACTATTCAGATATTAACAATAAATCCAAATGGCCTGGCCTATTCTCATTACTGGTGCCCTACCTGATTAGATTTAACAGTCACTCAATCCTTCATGTGATCTTGATCACAGCCAAGTTAAAGGATGCCAGGAATAGTGATGAAATAGGAATTTGGCTATTCAGGTTTCTAAAAGGCAACGCTGCACTACAAGAAGATAATAAGTTGGGCCAAATACCAAGTCTGGCTGAACTGTGATGCATTGCTACTTGAAAACTGAATAATAGGAAAAGGAGACTGCTTAATTATGAGATATTTCTGTTGCTGGGGCTGGGAGCTTGGAGAGAGGATGGTGTCCAGGGGAGCTTTGCCCAGTCTTGCGCAGATGGACTTAAAGAGAATTGTTTCAACATTGAGTGAAGGAGCAGAAATGGAGTTCAGTAAAGAAAGTAACCCAAGAACTGGAGATAGATGAGCTGGCTCTCCTAGGAGGGAGACTATTTGAGGTAGACTGGGGAGGAGATTTTCTACATGACTTTGGTTCCCAGAAGTCTCCACACACTGAAGTAAATGAGCTCTAGACATTATGAAGAGGGCCAACAGAATCACTGTGAAGAGAAGGATGCTCAGCTCCAGGGATTTCCTCTGCCTACACCCTGCCCTTAAGATCAGGACCCTTTGGCCCTCTTCATAGTGTCTGGGGCTCTGGGGGATAACCCTTGAGCTATGGTACCAAAAAACATACCAGTAGCAACAACGTCCAGGGAGCCTTCTCTTCTCCTTGGGAGAGCTTCAACTCATTTCATCACACTTCTTCCAGGCACCTGCACAACTGGGCTTCCAAAAGTGCTTCAAAGACTTCAGAGCCTCATTCTAATGTCCTCCCCCTACCCCCACCCCACCATAAGTGGGCAAAAAGAAGAGCAGTTATAGCTCTTACCAGGATGCTTACCTGTGCAAGACTCCAAAACCAGTAAGCTTGGGAACATCCATGGAGCCACAGGGACACGAGAAAGCCCACATTGCTAGTGAGATCTTGTAAGAAGTCCACAGTTCATAAGAGGAGAGGTAAAGAAAAATATGTGCTCGTGATGAAAATACACACTGTGATACAAGGCCTCTTAGTTTAGGGAGGTGGGAGTTTCCCCATCTATATAAGCTGGTCTCAAACTCCTGAGCTCAAGCAATCTACTCTCTTCGGGCTCCCAAAGTGCCGAGATTACAGGTGTGAGCCAACGTGCCTGGCAATAATGCTACCAACAGATGGTTTTTGGGCTTGAATACCTTCAGGGACATGGATCTTCACTACCACTTCACAAGAGTATAAATGTGGATTAAAAGTAACAATACATATAAAGCGCTTAGTACAGTGACTAGCATGTAGGGAAAGTTTGAGTAGTGTTAGCATTTCTATTTATCACTGTGGTGTCAAATGTTGAGTGGCCAAACCTGTGATGAATGGAGCAGGCTTGACTTCCGTGACAGAAGAACAAAGGATTTAAACAAGGGAGGCCAAACTCCTCCTCATCCGCCTCTTGCCAAATAGCTCCTAGCCAAGAGTAGATAAGGTAAGGTTTAAGGTCAGACAAAAAGGACAATATGTATTAATTTCTCTAGATAAAGTAATTTGGGAGGAATGGATGGGTACTTTGAGTTGAAGGAGAAGAAAAAGGGGGCTTTGGAGAATTTCTTTTAAGATTACTTGAGGGAGGTTTTTCTGATCTCCAACCTCTGTGAATTTATGAATCCAAAGATGTGAAAATAGGTTGGAGGACTTAGGACCACTAACTTTTGAGGGTGCCTGTGTATTCCCTCCTATCCAAAGAATTTGATTACTGCAGCAATTGATGGAGACAGGGCTCTAGTGACATTTCCAACTTCCCCTCCTGAGATATTTAAATTAGTCCTTAGGAAGGCTTACTGTCCCCTCACCTCCATCACGGAAACCCCTTATATTT